TTTCCAATCCGTATGGCAGTTAGTGTGGTGAAGAGTACCTAAAGCAGCATTGCACATTTAGCACAGTCTCATTTGGTCAGCATTCAGTATTTTGAGTTGGTATATTCTCAGTGTGTGGGAAAAGTTGCCTTATCTTGTCTTGACAGTTTCACTGAGTTACCTGTTGGTGAGAAGATAGACTAACATTGATCTTGGTAGAAGACTTTTGTGTTAGTTATTGAAAGTAGAATGTGATTCAGCTCAAGAAATATACTGTTTAAGCATTGTATAAGTTATGAAGCAGGACAGTGTTCTATAAAAAGTGCATTTCTTCAGTGTTTATTGCAGATTTTTTCACGTGTCCATTTTTACAATAACTTCAATTGAATTTTTTTAATCAATAAAACATCAAGAGGTTTTACAATCTTCTGTTATCCTATATTGTAATGCTTATGTAGTATTTTATTTTATACAGTTGCCAAAATCTTGTTATACCTTTTAATAGATATAGGTTTATCTCAGTAGGTATGAATGCTTGTTTCCAAGATGTGATCATCTAAATAGATAAATCTGCTAAAGCAAAAATGTCATGGATTCTGCCTTCTCTGCTGTTAAGATTCAGTTCAGTATTTCTGTGACTGGAAGTAAAAACTTCTTCCAGAGATTATGTCTCAGTGTTATGCACTGTGTTGTGTGTCATATATGAATTTCAGTTGGTCCAGGTGACTTGAGACTTCATCTGTGAATAGATACTGGGTGTTGATTTATGTGCTATACAGAACTTAATTAACCATATGAATTCTGAGAGTGCACTCAGTTACCACTTCTGTCTTTCATTGCCTAAACTACTCGTAGTTAGTGTAGTTAGGCACTTCAGATTTTGCCAGTAGAGTTCAAGACTCTTATACTTCTGCTTTTTAGGTATATCTAGAAAGTGAGTAAGGCTTGTACATGTGCGTTTATGTACGCTTATGTAAGCGTATATTCAACTATATAAAAAATAACTGGAATACAAATGTTCTTTAAGACCATCTTCTCTTTCCAATCTTTGAATACCCAAAACAAGAAATATGTTGCATGTTACTTTCCTTCTATTCTTTTCAGTTTGGTGTGGAACCTGCTTTATGCTATTACTGACTGGGGACAGTCAGTAATAACTGGTGCTTTTTATGTATTTTCTAGACATTATATCCTTGAGATCCAGTAGCAACTGCTTGATGAGGATTTTGTTACATATTAAATTGTTAAAAGGTTATTAAGACTGCAAAATCAATAGCAGAGGTATAATTAAAGTGTCCTATCTGGCCATGTTTTTCTGAGGAGCATATTCAATGCAGAAGTTAAGAGGTTCCAAGAATAAAGCTTTCAGTAATTTTTCCTCAATGTTTCTTCAGGCAGTACTTTTTTCCCCCTGTTTATGTCCACTCCTGTGCATATGCTTCCTATCTCAGTCCCTATTTCTTGTTTTGTCCTGCTCTTTTCCTAGTGCACTGTTAGCTGGCTGCTGGGTGTTCAGAAGCAGTTTTACTGAGAAGTATATTTGTGCTGCTTGGCCTACTTAGAGCTCAACATCTACATGCTTTCTGATCAGGAAGTTTATATACTCCAGTCATTTGCCAAGCCAGTCAGAAAACATGTATCTTCTGATCGATGAGCTGGCCATCCATGCAGCACATTTGAACAGGTAAACCAGAAACTTGCAGTCTTTTAAACTGCTTTGCAAACCATGTGCTGTGCATATTTGCCTTAGGATTTTGTGTTCCCTGCTATGGAAATGAACTTTTTTATTTTTATTATACAATTCACAAGTCACCTGCTAACTTCTAAGTTGGCACCAGGGTGTCTAAGCAGTGCAAGAAGTTTAGCACATGAGCTGTGTTTTGCTGAAGTATGTCTCTGTCTCTCCCTCATGCTTTTCTGTTTTGGGGGATTTTTCCTCCATTAACTTTTCTGTCAAATGCTAGACCAATGTATTATTCATTTTGTAGTTTCTCAAATTGCCTGTACTGCATGAAAGCTTTTCCACTGTTTAAAATAAGAAAAACTTTGATGCAATTCAAAAATTTAAAGGAGACATCATCTTAAACAGACTACACAGGAAAAAAGTAAAGTATATATAATTTTTTTGGTATTATGCAGAAATGGTGGAATCAGATCTTGCTAAGAGTCTATCACAAAGTTATATTTGATTAGTAGTTTCCAAAGTTTCATCTGTTTTCTTGCCTTTTTCATAAATGCAGCACTGGGGAACAAGTGGTTGTGACTAGAAAAGTAGAGAAAGAATGACTTAAGCCTATGCTACCATAAAAAACTGTATCAAGAAAAACATCCACAGGCAGGCACAGTTGCATCCCTTATAAAATGTGCTTAAGGAAGGACAGAGGCAGTGGGTCGTCAGGTTGGGCCTGTGCAAATTATAAGAACACATTGGTAGTAAACAGCTTTTCGCTGACAGACTTAATGGCTGCTGATCTAAAACCAGTCATCTAAGCAGCGCTGTGCCGTCTGGGGGACTTAAACTGCTCAGTTCGGTCTATAGTTACTTCGCCATTGTGTTGTGCAGTCGAACACTCACCCACACAAACCTGCTTCCCATGCTCAAGGACTGTGTTTGCAGAGAAAATTTCCTACAGCACTTTGTAGAATTGGACCCTGAAGCTGCCCACATAAGGTTTTTCCATAGGGCGTATGCTACACATCACATGGGAATCCAGTGAAAGAAGTAATCACTAAATTCTGTTATCACGGGTAACATTGTATATTACCTATGATTTTCTGTCTTTTCACTTGCATCTTTATTTAACTTCTGCAGAACACCAAGCAGCTATCAGATGGTATGAATTCTTGGGGTCCCTCTTAGAGAAAACCTAATATTTTGTGTCTACTGTGACTTTGGTTGGTTTAGTGTACCTGTCATGGAACTCAGTAGTAGGGTTGGGAAGACAGAATTGCTCGCTACTTTTTATTGTGAAGTTTTGGATGAGTGATAGGATTTCTCAGAATACATAGTATTTTATAGCACTTTTTACACTCCCTAAATTCCTCTTGATCTCAGTTGCAGAGAAGATTGTACAAGGGAAGAGACCATTATGTAATCTTAAGTGTCTTCTACGGAAATGATTCAAAATAATTGAAATCTCTACTTAAGTCATCATGGTATTCTAACTTCTACAGTTAAACTTCTACATTTAAAACCAAACAAACAAAAAAAAAAAAACCCCACAACAAAAACAAAAACACACACAACAAAACCCCAACCACAAAACCTCCTGTTTTGCACTGCTGTCATACTGTTCATGATTATTAAATGTTTATCACTGAATATATTTTGTATACTAATAAAAAATAAGCATTTATGCCTTCCTAATTAAACTACAGAATTTACCTCAGAAGATTAGACTAGGAATATGGAAATTCCAACGATTTGTTTTGCTGTTTGGGTTTTGTTGTGGTTTTTTTTTTTTCTTTTTTTTTTAATCCTAAGTAGTACCAGAGGTTAGAAATAACTGTATGCATTTCATCCATTCATAAGCACACAAAGACTGCCTCAGGTGTTGAAACATGTGGATAAGACTGTGAGAAAAATGATTCGTGCCCAAGCTGCAGAGCACGTATAAAACCCATTCTTCTCAAACGCTAAGTAAAATCCTAGGCCTCCAGAGTTTCTCTTCATCTGTGGATACTAAAAAAACCACAACAAAAACAAAAACACACACAACAAAACCCCAACCACAAAACCTCCTGTTTTGCACTGCTGTCATACTGTTAATGATCATTAAATGTTTATCACTGAATATATTTTGTATACTAGTAAATAATAAGCATTTATGCCTTCCTAATTAAACTACAGAATTTACCTCAAAAGATTAGACTAGGAATATGGAAATTCCAACGATTTGTTTTGCTGTTTGGGTTTTGTTGTGGTTTTTTTTTTTTCCTTTTTTTTTAATCCTAAGTAGTACCAGAGGTTAGAAATAACTGTATGCATTTCATCCATTCATAAGCACACAAAGACTGCCTCAGGTGTTGAACAGGACATGTGGATAAGACTGTGAGAAAAATGATTCGTGCCCAAGCTGCAGAGCACGTATAAAACCCATTCTTCTCAAACGCTAAGTAAGATCCTAGGCCTCCAGAGTTTCTCTTCATCTGTGGATACTCCACCCCTGCAGGTTATCCATCACCTTCAAAACTTTCTCTTCAGGGTCACCCAGCAGATGTAGTTCAGTAGCACTGTGGCCATGACAAGGAAATGTCAGAGCAGGGTGATAAATTAGTTAAATCTTAAATCTGAGATTTCTGCTATTTTAGTACAAAGCTGTAGTAAATCTTTTTCTGTGAAGGCTAGAATTTTAAAAGTGCATCATTTCTTAACACATAGTTTTTTACTCCTAAAAATAGTTAGTATAGCAAAACCCTAATATGATGGACATAGCTAAAGTAAGTAATGGCATTTTTCAGAAACTTTAGAATAAGATGCCATCAAGAACTTTTCTTTATGCACTGAATAGTTTTAGTATCTCATGATGCATTCCCCATTAAAAAAAAAAGTAATCAACCTTCTACCTAAATACTCCTGAACAAAAAATACTTCTTAATCTTGAATGTGTTTTATAGCTCTCTGTGCCTGCTTCCTTAAGCCTTTAATGCATGGTTTAGCCACTCCAGAGAAAATGTATGTGCTTTGTTCAGCCTTTTTTATAAAGGAAACTTGTGTCCAAAAAGAGAACTGGGTCCTCAATTTCAGCCTAGTTTCTGCCTTCTTTCTTGTCTATTTAGGTAGAAAACACTGTCCATATGTCAAACATAAAATGTGCAATGTATCCATCACTTGGATTCATTTGGATGTACATGTTGGATTTATATGGCTAATGTTGATGTAGTAAGCAAGATCATCTGAAAAAAAGTATGAGTAATATGTTATAATTTTATTTCAATATTTACCATTTCATATCAAAGTCTGGTTAAAGGTCGTTAAAATGGGTTTATTTTATAGTCTACTAAAATCTTTCCATATTCCTTCACATTTCGGGAGTCTCTTCAGTGAACGTACCAGCTTTACGTTTGTGGTGTTCTGGTGTGGATTTTGTAAACAGGCCATACAGACTTTTCTTAAATGTTTGATCTAGCAGAAGGGTTATGACTGGATCTAAACTACTCTTAGCAGCAGCAAGACAAGTAAGGAAATTTTTAATTTCCACTAGATAGTTTAACCTTGGACAGTCATTATTTGTAAGCAGTACATAAAAAATTGGCCTAAAAATATGATATGGAAGAAAGCAGACAGTTAATATCATCTGTATGACAAGAATGTTTCTTTTCACTGTTCTGTAAATTAGGTGTTTTTCTCCAATACAGGTATTTTTTTGTATTTTACTCAGATGTCTGGTAAGAGAATAGTATGACAACAAAACAGTCATAAAAGATACAAAAAAACATGCAGTGGCAAGAGAAGCTGCAATCATTGCAGTAAATTCACCAGCTTCTACCCTGATGTTGTAGCAGCTATGAAATCCTTCTGGAGCCCTTGCCTGGACATTATATGTTATAGCTGTTACGGTTATGCAGAGCACAGTAAGCCATATAATGATGCACAAATATTTAGCAAATTTTGGCTGACGAAACTTTTCAAGTACACATCTGTAAAAGTTTTCATTAACTGCTTGAGAACATTGTGTGTCACTATTTTTCTTCAGTGTTGCATACTGACTTAGAGCAGTTGAACATAAAATTATAATCGTAACATACATACTGACGTGCATAATGAGAGTCCCAAGGTGATTTGCTATTCTACATGCGACAGAGTCGTAAGTCCATTGGTACCCTCTTGCAAAATACGCAGCCAGAAAAGGCATAGTGCTACATACAAGTAAATTTGCAGTTACAAGGTTTACCAGGTAAATGTATTGTGTTCTTTTTGTGGGTGCTCGCCTTGAAAGTAGCCAGGCAGAGAGAATATTTCCAAAACTTCCAGCAGGAAATAGGAAAGAGTAGATGACTGGTAGAGCTACAGTAGTAGCTAATGATGGCTGAAGAAGGCATGTTGAATTTCTCATTTATGCCGGTATTTCTTGAATGAATGGTCAGAGCTGAAACACAATTAAAAGAATTATTCTTCTGTAATGTGCATCTAACATCTTTTATATTTTTTGCTCTTATTTTAACTGTTCCTTTTTCTCCCCTACTTTTCAGTGTTACTAACTGCTGTTTGTCTTCTGGGGCTATCATCTTGAGTTTGCACGAGGTTACTGCTTGGGTGTTCTCTTCCACTGAGATTTTGTGAAGGAAAGTCATCTGGTGTTAAACCCCAAAGATTTTACATGCATAGAATGAAATAAAATAAATGAGGAAACAGAAGATTCAAGCTAGGGTCTGACAATAACTTGTGTGGTCTTGGTTTATTTCTCAATCTTTTGGAAAATCTGTAACCTACTTCGGAAACCACCTCTAGACTATTTTAGATTAAATAAGCAAAGCAAGTGCAAAGTATTACTTTAATTGCCGAAATGCAGAGGAGTACCCTGTACCTCCATATAAGTACAAACTAAACTGTGCATGATGCAGGAATCTGGGTAGATGCATTTATTTTGTACTGATGTCTGTATCTAATGTTAGTTTGTTCAGAGCTCTAATCTTAGATGTACTTTTTGCATAAACAATTCAATCTGTATTTTTAAACATACAAAATGGTTGTTGAAAACTGCAATATATTTATATTTTCCAAGTTCAGTTTTCAATCTTTTCTCAATTTCCAGGCTGCAAACAGGAACCAAAGTTCTATACAATGACTGGCATTTCAGCTTACTAAATTGTAGTGAAGAGAGATTTTCTTGTATGGATACTACTTTAGTGAAGTGTATCCTAGCTAGGTTTTGTTCCATATAAAACCATATGGAAAAAAAATAACAGATTTCAAACTTACAGACTGGTAATAATTTCTTTTTAGACAGCTGTAAGCAAATGAACTGAGATGCCAAAGAGGGTTCTATGATAAAAAGCCCAGACACCAAGTTGATTAGATAGCAAAAAGTTGTAAAAGTCATATTTAAAAATTATGCTTTGACATCTTGCAAATTAAACTTTTATAGCTGTTGCATTTCAGTGTACATTAAGTCCCTTATGGATTGTTGAACCAAAATGTATTAAATTCTTTTATTACAATGAGTTACATTCACAAAGTAATTGTTTAATTCAGTCATTTAGAAGTCTAATGATCATTTTTGTGTCAATGCCTAAACAACAAAGTAGTAGTTTTAAGCTTACCTATGCAAGCTGCAGTCACCTTTCTTTGCAGAGAGGAAATTTTTCTGTCTGATGTCCTTTTTATCTCCACTGCTCCAATGAAAAGGATGATAACTGAATCTGGAAAGCACAGTTAAGAACAATATCTCTCTGACATAAGCAGGTTTTCAAAATGTACACTTTTCTTTTACAGTCTCAAAAGGCAGCTAGGCATTTAAAGTTCAGGCAAGATGATGTTGTCTATGCAAAAAAGACTTCAAAATTACATCAGGATGCAGCTCCATTAGAGAAATAAAAAGAATAAGATAGTGTGGAAGAGTGATTGTAACAGTCCTTTGGTCAGGCAGGTATGGCACAGAAGCACCTTACAATCCTTTATATAGTGCTTTCCTCTTTGCGGGCTGGAGGGATTGTTACTGTCGTTCTCTTTAGGACTGCCTCCTTTCCAGAATGGGGGTGGGGGAGAAAGTTGCTATTTTATGCATGAAAACTTGTATTTTCAATGACATTAAACTGTTCTTCAGCTCCAAGAGCTATCACAAAGCTGACTATCTATTCCTGAAGCCTGCATTCAGTAATACTGTATCCATGTCTGTCCTCATACGAGTGACCAAATAAACACATCTCCTATGTCTAGTCAGGTGATGCATGGTGTAGAAGCAATTTACAGCTGATGTGTTCTAGGCATCAGTTAGGGAAAACCAACTCTGTTTCTGAGAAATACAGTATCTTACACAAACCATGCAGAATGGTTTGTACACACATGCACAGGACAGTTTCATTCCTCCACAGGAAAGGTTTGATCACAGATCAGTCAAACTCTGTTTAGCTCTGCAAAGCTTGAGACCTTTGAATTTGCTTCTGTCTGATGCATCTGCGGTTGTCAGATACGGCTTTTCAACAGCTATAAATAGTTCCTTTATGAGAACCATATAAAAACTTCTGCAATTTTGGCAAGGTTCTTGTTTTGTTAGTTTTGCTTTATGTTTAAACATACACTGTGAGAATCCACCTCAGTTATCTACTACCATTTTTATTGTTCAGTCTCATTATTTATTTTATTTTTTTTTCCCTACTAAAATGGTGGACATGTATGCTGGCCTCCTATTTAGACTACATAGTTGATCTCATTTAAGATTAAATTTAAGTGAGGGAAACTTGCTCTGGAGTATTAGTAATTAGTCTGTAATGCTGTAATTAGTTTGCATGTACTTTAATTTTTGTTCCTGTTAGATTTAGTTATACTTTGTTTTCTTTTTTCCACTTTTGAATGTATAGTTATATTAAAATTTGTTCTAACAGAGAGAGTCTTGTATTAATTAAATATTTAATAGTCTCCTAAGTAGTCTTAGAAGTCTTTGTTACTGTGGTGTTCCTTCCAGGTTTAGACGCAAGAATGCATATCCTGAAAATTTGCTAAGAGGAGACATGACAAAAAAAGGTGTGAGCAATTCCAGTTAGCAGGGAATTATTTTAATTATTATTATTCAGTTGGTTATTAACTGTAGCCTGTAGTGTTTATAATTTGATGACCATAACTCTTGCTGTAGGAAGATATAATGCTACATTTTTTTCTGAATTATTGTAGGATAATAGATTATTATAGTGAATTACAGTCTATCAGACTTCATTTTAGAACTGATTAGTGAGATGAGTAACAAAAGAAGGGGATATTATAAGTTTAAAAAAAAACCAACAAAAAACAACCCCAGAAATACAGTTACAGTTGGTTCTTAGCTTCGTTATTCTTTTAGTGGACTATTTTCGTTCACCTAAATTATAAATGGCATATTTTATCTAAGATATATTTGATTATATTCAAATGGTACAAGTGCATCTTTTATGCGATTCGCTCTTAAGTTCTTCATAATGATCTTCCGTGCATTCTTCACCTCAATTATTTATATTTTCTGTACTCTTAAACCATGATAGTTTTCTAATTTATACATGTTACTAGAGTTTATGTGCCAGTAAGCAGCATATGTTGCATTTTGCCATTGTATGCACAAAACCAAGGAAATTCTCAGTGCTGAAAGGTACTTCAATCAGCCATTTATAACCCATACCTAGCATGTTATGTGACATAATCATATATGACAGTGATCCGTTTGCAGGCTGCCTGGCCACTTCCTCTCCCCTCTGCCTGCTTGAGATGATAGAGGACAGCCCAGTCAACCTCCCGTCTCCTTGTGCCTGTCACAAACCAAATGGAGAACTGGACTGTTCCTGCTGCACCACAGAGTATATAATGTGTTGGCAGCACTTGCTTCTTGTAGGATGGAAGAAGGCAGCAGCTCACATACTTCTGGCTCCTGTAGCAGTCCTGGCTCTCTCTGCGCTGTGGAAGGCCCAAGAGATGCACTCAGTCTCTGTGTCTTGAAGGATAGAAGGCAGCTACTGAAGATAGGGCACAGAAAAGTGTGCAACCCTGGATATGTCTACTGAGTAATATGATGAATCATAATAAATGTATAGCATGCACCAAATGTGCAGCAGCCTTTCACCTGAGATTTAATTTCATGTATTTGGTATTTGATCTACTGTATAGCATTTAATACCAAGATAGATAAGTCTCTAAGATGCACTAGCCACTACTCAAGTGCAATCCATATTTTGTCTCCAAAAAAAAATCATTTGCCAAGTAGCTTGCCTAGAATTTGACTCTGGTACTTAGTTTTGTTGGGGATTTTTTTCCTTAAACATTAAAATTGAAAGTTTTGACTGCATAAACTCTTAAGACAGATGGATTACACGATCACCATGTTCTGTTGGACATCTGTATCAGGAGAGTTGTTGCAGAGCACCATTGTTCCTCTCTGCCTGCTCATCAGCTTTCTGAGCAGGGGTGACCCAGTGTGCACACAGCTCTTCTCCTGACTTGATATAATGAGGATTTTAGCTGTAGTCAGTATATGTATTTAATATTGTAAGAAGTGCTCATCAAAGCCAAATCATCTAAGCTCATGTTTAAATCTACTCTAGTGGAGTTGAGCACTGTGCTGAATCAGTGAAGATAAAATATTTGTCACGTTTGAGCTGGGTCTGTCTGCTGTTCATTCATGATTTATTTTCGCCAGTTTTAGAACTGGTTCAGCAAAATAGACACAGAATGAAAGTTCTTAAGTTGTTTGATGAATTACAGTTGTATGCAGTGTAACTCTGTGGCATCCATAGGGATATAGAAACGTGGATATACTGCACTCATAGCTTCAATTCTTTGGTTGCTGTAAAAATACGAAAGTTAAATGTTTCACAGGCTCCAGGTTGTTGTTTTACATAGACAAGACACAAGCCAAACAATGTCTTTTAGGGAGGAAAACTTAGCTTAAAGTTGACAGTACTAACAAAAATAATCTTCCAACATTTTAATACTTCAGGTCTTTATTGCTAAATACTTCATATTTTTTCCCCAATGACAATCTTTGTGTAGCTCCCAGAAGTCTCTTTAACTGTATTTGCTTCTAAAAAAGCAGTGGCTGTGTATTGGTCATGATGATTTTTACTTTTAACTTCAGAAATCAGTTCTTAACATGAAAACTGTGTTGGTCATCATAGTCCAATAGGAAGCTTTGTCTGTTTTTTTTCTGTGTCATACTATAATTTGTTGGGTTTTAAAATATGTTTTTTTGTAACACCTTTTTCGCTTTTGCAGGTGGTTCTTAAGCTTCTGTGAAAACAGAAAAGTAATAAAGCAAAAATGAAAACATAAAACGTGGCACTAAAAGCAAAACTGATACTTAAAAGGTAGAGTTTGTTGGCTACAAGCTGGGGAGTTCTGGCTGCAAAATTAATTCCTTGCTGATAAAGAACATTT